TTCAACACAGGAAGGAAGGGGGACAACAAGACCACACTGAAGGGTACACTCCCGTTGTTCTGTCCAACCTGTAACTCAGTTCAGAAAAACATGTAACCACAGAGCTCGCTTACTTCTACCACAATGTCTTGGCTTTATCTGCATCTTATTCTCTGCTGACGCAAAGTAGAGGATGTAGGACACAGTGTGACACTGAGTGAGGCACAATCACAGCACCCTGTCTAGTCATTTTAAGTCAACAATGAGTAAGCAGTCAAGATGACCAAGGCCAGGGAATAAAGAAGACAAAGTTTTATGGCATTGGTCTGTGAACTAGTCAAGTCCAAGTGTTGGACTGGAATATTTTCAAGACAACATGTACCCAATTTAGATCACTAAGTGATTTAAGAAAAAAGGTGCTTTGACATTGACTCTTATTTCTGCTACCAAGTTGACATCAGTTCTGTGGCAGTGAACGTGCACTTGTGGAGAGAGGCTGCAGGCTCCGTACTTTCTTCCAGGTGATTTCACAAAAGCCAATGGTGGGACGGGGAGAAATTATTCAAATATGAAGAGGCTTTTCTAGGAGGGGAGAAGAAAGAGCTCGAGTTCCCCTTAGGACCTCCTTTTCCTGGCTTCCCATATCCCCAGGCTCAGAGTTTACCTTAGGAGTCTAGAAGGGGTTTTCAAATTCAGTTTGGTCCAGACTATTTCCTCTTCTAGGAAAAGGATCAAGTCCAAGCCAGGTTGCATCACTTGGGCCCACCCCAGTTCCTTTCAAAAGGGTTGATGGCTCCTTGATATGCAAATCATAAAACCCACTGATGATAACTGGTTCAGTGACTAATACTGTCCTGCCCTGCTGGCAGTTTTTTTTATCTCATGTTCCTGCTAATAACGATTCATGCCTTTTTCATTGTCAAAATCTCACAGAAGTGGGGAAAACAGAATTAGCTTTAATATTAAAAAATTTTTATAAAGTTGGGCTGGATACTTTGGATTTAACCGGCTTTCCCCAATTCCTCGCCCTACTGAATTAGTTGCATGTCTTAAGACAAATTGGTGGTGGGGAATGTGCACTGGTGGAGGGATGGGTGTTTGATCATTCTGTGATTGTAACCCAAACATGAAAGCTTGCAACTATCTCATGGTGATTCAATAAAATTGAAAAAAAAAAAAGACAAGTTGCCACAGGCAGCTCTTGTGGAGGCAGCTAGCGCGAGGCTGGGGAGCACTGAGCCGCGAGTTGTGCACTGAGCTGCCTGGGCTCACGAACAATACAGTTAAGATGGTCAAAGGTGATCCAAAGAAGCCTAAGGGGGAAAATGTCTGCTTATGTCTTCTTTGTGCAGACATGCAGAGAGGAGCATAAGAAGAAAAACCCCTAAGTGCCAGTCAATTTTGCCAAATTCTCCAAGAAGTGCTCCAAGAGGTGGAAGACCATTTTTGGGAAGAAGTCAAAATTCGATGAGATGGCAAAGGCCGACAAAGTTCGCTATGACTGGGAAATAAAAGATTACAGGCTGGCAAAGGGCGGCAAGAAGAAGGAGGATCCGAATGCCCCCAATAGACCACCATTGGGATTCTTCCTGCTCTGTGTCGAATTTTGCCCTAAGATCAAATTTAAACTCAGGCATCTCCATTGGGAACGTGGCGAAAAAGCTGGGTGAGATGTGGAACAATCTGAGCAACAGCAAAAAGCCACCTTACAACATCATGGCGGCAAAGCTGAAGAAGGATGTCGCCGATTATAAGTCGAAAGGGAACTGTGATGTGAAGGAGGGCGGGGGGCGGGGGGAGGAGGGGTAAGAGGAGGAGGAGGACTCTCCTTGAGAGTCCCTTAGAGTAGGGAGTGCATTAACACCCCTGTGCTGAGACCCGTCCGTTTCCCTCATTAGGTTTACTCTCACTCATGATCCCATCTAGTCTCAAAGTGCTCTAGGAGTTGACAGTGGTTTACATGCCGTGGCCAGGGGTGTCCAGGGTACCCTAAAACTATCAAAGGTGTACATACTTTCCAGCATTTTTAAAAAGGAAAGGCTCTCGTGTTCTCACTCTGTGCACTTTGCTATTGGTGTAACAAGGCATTTCAAACTGTTCTTTGGCATTTTCTTTTCACTTGTTAAAGGTAAAGGTAAAGGCCCTCCCGTTGATCGTCGATTTGCTCTAGCGGGCCCAGTAACGTCTCCATTGGAGACTTTGTTGTTACTGTGTTTGGCATATCAAATACTCTCGGTAGCTTGCTGGTATTAACTGTGGTTATTATCTAGAAATTCCTGAGTTCTCAACTGTATATATCTATAGTTTGTAAAAAGAAAGGAAAGCGAAACGACAGAGACAAACTTGCTGCTGGTGGCTTGGTGTGGAGCAGTGGGGAGAGGCATTTGGAGGGGCCGCGCTTCACTGCGCAGGTGGGCAGGTGGGTGGCAGTGGGGCTGCAGCCTGTCTGCTTGCGTATATAAATGCTAGAGCATTTTGCTGCCATTCTTAGCTGTGTAAAGAGCAAGGGGTCAGCCGGCATGAGAAAGTGTGTGGAGTTCCCTGGGTTCTGTGGGGTAGTACAACTTTGTTCGACTATAGAGCTCTCATGGACAGCACAGCCAAGAGCCATTATACCAATGAAAGTCTGAAACCTGTACTAAACAATTTACAACCTTCTGTTATTTTTGTGTGTATGTTTAGAATGCTGAGATGTTTTTGAAGTTAAATATTAAGTTTTTTTCTTTTTAAAAAAGACAAGCTGCCAAATCTCTCTGTGCCTCAGTTTCCCTCAGATTGTTAAATGAAGATAAGAATATCTCTTGGGGATAGGACAACTCATGACAAGCTGTGTGTGTATGTAGTGGAGCAAGGAGAAAGCCTCTTCAACAAATGCTGCTGGGAAAACTGATTAGCCACATACCAAAAAAATCAATCTGATCCCCTATCTCACACTACAATTAAGAGTGAGTTCAGGGGTCAGGAAGAGAGTATAGGGATTAAGACACTCGCCTTGCATGCAGCCAACCCTGGTTGGATTCCTGGCACCCATGGCAGGATAGTTCCCTGAACAAAGTCAGGAGTATGGCCCAATTACCCCCTGAAAAAATTAATTTAAATGGACTAAAGGCCTTGATATTAAATCCAAATCCATTGAAATACAATGAGGAAAACATAGAACTCCTGTTACATGTTGTCTTCAGAAGCATCTTAATATTAGTCATCATGAAGTGAAACTATCTTCTATAAAGTCAACGTATCAAAGCAAATGTGTTGTAGTTATTTTCCTTTTAATACTCAAAACCATGGTGATCTTTATTGTGGAAAATATGGAAGAGCAGGGACCAACTTGGGGGTGGGGGGGAACTGGGGACTGGCTGGGGTGGAGGGTGGAGTGATACAACGTCTGAGGCTTTCTCAAGATTTCTTACAAAGCGGTCATATGACTAATCCCGCTGGAGCTCGGGTTCACTGTGGCCTCTTCCCATGCTCCATGCTGCCTGCTGAGCTCAGGGAATCAAACAGACCCGGCATAGTCAGCACCTGCTGATCACGTGGCTTGCTGTCAGCTCTTGGCCAGTTTGCTCCAGGAAGTTCAGGAGAGCAGCCTTGTAAGCCCCATAAAGATACAGGATTAGAGAACCTGTGGAAAATGTGAGGTGGAGTTCTAACTTGTTGTCTTTTGCATAAATACCCAATTCTCCTCACTCCTCACATATAAAAGAGGACCAAGGCTGAAGCACCCGAAATCCTATCACAGCAAAATCAATGGCCATAGGAGAGTTTGGTAAGTAAGGAGTTATGGCCTTGACCTGACCTGCAGGAGTTAGGCAGCCAGCTTGGGGATACACTGTGAAGAGTAAAACTGCTGAGTGATTACAGAGGAGAACTTACAAGTCCTTTGCCAGGGCTATAATAGTGGGTTTCAGGCACAAACACAGGCTTGCTTTGTTTCTCATGGTTCTTTACCAATGTGGGGTCAACCACAGCACGTAGTCAATCAGCCTTATGGAACACCAGAGCTTGAACAGTCTCTCCTAACAGTCTCTCCCAAAGTCTTATCCTATAACAATCCATCCCTTTCTAGAAGTTATTGTGGTAGGTTTTTAAAGATTTGAACTTTAGACTGAATATACCCCTTACCAAGCCTAAACCAACTAATTAAGCTTCTCTGAGTAGCTCTTTTCCTATTTGTAGAATTGAAAAAATACCATAATATCATGGTAATCATCTTGAAAAACAGTGGCAGAAGGACTTTACTGCCTTACAGACATTATCACATCAACCTAGTGAAATCAAACAGGTGAAAGTCTGAAGTACTAAACCAGATATTTCCAAATGTAGATAACTTGCCACCCCCCTTTCCAGAAAAAAAAATCATTCGGCACTCCCTTAGAAGTCTACCTTCTTTAAGCAAATAGAAAGTACCCCCCACACTGTGCCCCTGGACCCTCCAGCTATACTCATGCACTCTAGGATGGTTCCATCACTCCTCACAGGGATGGTTTGTGCAATTTGGGAAACACTATTAAACATATATTCACTATATTCAGTAAAGTAATTCACTATATTCAGTAAAGTAATTTTTCACTTTGGAGTGCAGGAAAGAACACCATTCCCAGACCCCACCCCATGGAGGCTGTCACTATTACCCCTCCACTGTTCTGACCCGCCCTCCCACCCTATTTTTAGTTACAAGGAGGTCATACCGGGGTAGATTTTTGATGTGTGCCTTTCCTAGGGGAGGTAAATATACAGCAAGCATGTCCTCTCACTCTCTCCCCATGCTGTGGCAACCTTGGAAGCTACATTTTCTAGATGGCAGTGCTGTAAGCTAGAAGACAGACCACTGAGCTTGTACTACATGCGCATAAGAAAGAATCATGCTCTGTCCCTGAGTTTTTTAAGGTTGGCCTGTTACACCATTGCTCAGCGATCACTGCCTGAGTTCAGAACAAAAATTTCAGTAAAGATGTAGACCAATTTCATTCAAATTAATACACAGAAGATTGAGAATTAGCTTTAAGTCCTACTCCTTCTGCTCAAACCTTTTATTTTAATTAGGTATTTACTTTGTTTTACCAATGAGGATGGAACAAATCCTTACAGACAAAAAAAGTTTCCTTTTGCTACAAAATGTATTTATTACCAATCAGATAACATTCTCCATCTGCATATATAAGTACATACTATAGTTCTTGATACATGTCTTGTTTGCCAGAACAGTTCCTAACTCTTAAAATGTATACCAAACATATGTCTATTAAAATATAACTTAAATAAACTGCTAATGTAAAAGCTGGAAGTTGGGTCATTGACACAAGTTATATGTGGTTCTTGACTGCTGAGTCTAGAGCAATACTGACACCCTATGAGGAGACCCCACAGTTCATCAGGGGATAAGCACCTCAAGGTCACCTGCTGAGTGTGTGGCAGTTACTGTGACAGTTACACCTTCTGTGAAAAAAAGAGTTATGTGCAGACAAAAAACTACAGCATGGGGAGAATGAAGAGGCATCTCGTAGAATGTAGACACCATCTGGGTAAATGAACACCATCTGGGTAAATGAACAGGATAAAAGGGCTGCGAACATGACTGTTTACAGTAGATTTTGTGGCACCTTCTCACTGGGCAGTCAATAAATATCTTTAAATGAAAATAAGAATAAGATAGTCAGCTGGAACAGTGAGTCTTGGTGGCCAACATATGGTTTTCAAGATTGGGCCTTAAGTTGTGTGTTTTATGAATTCCATTTTTCCTTTGTTTCTTGGGAGTAAATGATCTATTTGGCAAGCCATTAATTTTCTTATCTTTAAATTCTTCATTTGCATTTAAAGACTTTCGCAGTATGACGGCTGTACTGGGGTCCATTGTTTTAAAGAGGAGCTTGGGGCACTCCATACAAAGTCTTGCCAAGTCTCTTGATGTAAAAAGACTGTTTGGCTCAGAATTTCTAGGATCTAGTTTTTTTTTTCTTTCTTCAAACAGTCTTTCCTTTGGGCTCCTGTTAATATCCTTAGCCAGAAACAGGCACGGACACTCATTTGTTGAGTTTTAATTTCTTCAAGAAAGATTTCTTGTGTATCAACTACCTCCAGTACCACAGCACCCTCAGGACTTGAATAATCGATCTCTTGTAGATCCATCCTTCACAGAGTTCTCCTCCTGGTCTGCCTGAGGGAATGGTTCTTGTTCTAAGGCCGATGCTAGGGGGAACGCCCCCTCAAAGCATTTTCTGGAAAATCACTATATCTTTTTGATGCTCATACCATCACTCTCATTCTCCATAAGGCTATGGCTGTAATTCTGGAGACACAAAGGAAAAGTTTCTAAACTCATCCTGGTTAATCATAGGAAGATGTCCCTCATCAATTGGAGTTAAAACTGGCTCTTCTTTTATGAAGTCTGGATCAAAATTACTGACATCTTCTCGGGATTTCTGTAAAAATAAAACAAGGATCATGTTTTTTTTTTTTTTAAAAAAAATAGCTTTTTTATTGAATCACTGTGAGATATACCCTTAAAGAAGCTGTTCATGATTGGATTTCAGTCATACAGTATTCCAGCACCCACCCCTCTGAACATTTTCCAGCACTCAGTGTTCCCAGGTTTCCTCCTGTAAGCCCCTCCCCTCAACCTCCTATCCCCTGCCTGCCTTCATTGCCTCTCTCTCTCTCTCTCTCTCTCTCTTGTGGTTTGTAATATTGATACTAAAAGGTCATCAAGAATATCCCTTTACCTACTTTTAACCCTCAGTTCTTACCCAGGGTGATCATTCCCAGCTACTATTGCCATACTGGTCTCTTCTCTATCTTATCTACCCTTAGCCCCCCCCCCCCCCCACACCTGTGGTTAGTTCCAACCACTGACCAATCCTTCTAACACCTGTTTTCCCTGGCCATGGATATTAGTCTTCTACTACACATTTTTTTTTATATAAACAAGGGTCACATTTTATGCGCTTGAGAGCTCATTTCAATGTGTTCACAGAATTGCTCTGTAGCATGTAAAAGGATTTAAAAAAAAACAGTTATGACAACTATATTAGTCCAAGATAGTAATTCTGTATTTGTTAACTAACAATTCATGTTGCAAAAACCAAGAACGCAGGTCTCAGGAATCTCAATTTAGATTAGGTGAGAATGGTTGCTGGGAGAGGTAGAAACGAGCAACAAGGCCCATGGAGAAATGTTGCATCATGAACACGTTCAGCCTCCTGCAGGGTAAGCTGCTCCACAGAGCATGAAGTTCTAGTCTGGGCATCCCAAAGACCACAGGGCTGGTGCAATGCTGCAACAATAGGAGAGAGAAGCATACTAGGACGGGCTAGACACTTACGATTCTGGGTCTGAAAGGTGGTTCCAGTTGGCGGTGGTTCAGTTGGGTCCAGTCAATTTCCTTGAAGAAAGGATGTCTCAAGATGGCATGTTCACCACCTTGAGCCAGGCTGCCCAAGCGCATGGTAGGGTTCTTGGTCATAAACTGAGAGAGAGTGGGGGAGAAAGAGTCAATTATTCAGCTATAGCCAATAAGCATGTCACAAGACAGGAGGCAGAAGCTCTGGAAGAGGAGCCTGTGTGAGACTTTCTGGCTCATCTTGCTTAACTAGCCAAATTTTCCATCCCAGGCAGCAATGCCAGCATGAATCATCCCGCAAGGGCCCAAATGCCTGGGTGTATTTCTGGCTCTCTCCTCTTCCACTTTAGACACAGCCACTGAGATAAAGTAGAAAGGGCCACTTTTCTGTAAATACCATGTACTTTTCTTTGTCCTTGAAAGAAAACGCTTATGAAATAGTCTGTGCAGTTGTAGCAGTCCGCATGATATGAATGGGCTACTTTGAGAAACAGTTGCATCATTTTTCTGACCTAAATGAACCAACCAGACAAGGAGTCCCACATGCTGATGAGACACATAGAGGGGAGTGAGAGACATTTCTTTGAAGATCTATATGGAGCAGCAGCGGCAATGGTGGAAAATTTACAAAGTTTCATATTTGGCAACAGGAAAAACAACATTGGTATCCTTCTTTAAAGATCCAAGATATCATAGTTTTAGTGAATAAGCTTTTTTTTTTTCTTCTTCTTCAAGAGTCTCTGTTAGTGGCGGAGATAGCTCAGTGTAGGGTACTTGCCTTGTATGTGTTAGGCTCTGGTTTCATACCCAGTAACCTGCTCCCTTCTGCCTCCCTGCCTCCTAAACTTCTCTGTCTTTCCAACTCTTGCATTTTGAAATGTCTGATGACTGACAATCTGTGGCTATACAGATCCCAAACTAAAATAGTATTGCCATAATATGTACGTATATAAAACCATATTTATAATAATTGGGACTGAGGCTTGGGGCTGAGCTCCTCTCCACATGTTTCAGGTTAACTCTGGTTTCACAAAATCACCAACAAGGGTAGTCAAAAAACAGCCTGGCTAAGGCCCACTATAGTAGTTATTCGTCGATTGCCTCGAGCAGGCCCCAGTAACGTCTTTTTCATCCTAGCCCTGAGATTATATTCAAGGCTCTTTAGGAGAATGAGACCCATCATTGTTACTGGTATTTGGCATATTTGGTACGCCACAGGGAGTTTGCCAGACTCTGCCCTGTGGGCAGGCTACATTCGATAGCCTGCAAGTTTGTCCAAAGTAGGAATGAGATAATAAGATGTCATAAAAAGATGTCTTGATAAGATGTCGCGTGGCCGCGAATGCAGCTGCGTGGTTCCGGGAGCTGGATTTTATAGTCTCTGAGTCTTGGCCGTTGATGGGATTACACGGCGCCAGGGGGCCAGGTGGTGGGTGTGACCCTCACCTACTGGAATTTGGAGGATCTGGGTGGAGGATGCTCAACTCCAATCCAAGTAGGCTTGGAGATCTCGGCCCCGGAACCCGCATGGATTTGTCCCTCTGCCAGCCACCACCATGCTGAGACCACTCTCCACACACATGAAGGTACTGGCAGAGGGACTATAGTAGTGTAATTCATTTTTCATGTGCAAAATGTGATTTGCAATTTCAAAGATGCCTAAGCTAATTTAATTTCCCATTTCCAAAATAAATTCTCCTATACAAAAAGATTTGGTTTAGTTTTACTTTAAATTAAGTTATTTGATGATGATGATGATGGTAATAACGATAATGATAGAGTTTTGATTTTGGGGGTTTTGTTTGTTTAAGGACAACAACACCCAGCTTAGCTCAGGACTTACTTCTTGTTCTGTGCTCAGGGATCAGTCCTGGTAGGCTCAGGGAATCATATGGGGTGCCAGGGATCAAACTCAGATCAAATGTGTACAAGGCAGGCTCTCTACTTGCTGTATTATCTCTTTAGCAAAAGGGCTTTGTTTTTTAGCTCATATCAGAAGTACTCTGAGGCAGATTCTGTGCTCAGGAGTAACCTTTTTTAGGTGCCCAGGAAACCATAAATAGTTCTGGGGATCAGACATATAAAAAAAAACCACATATTTGAACCAGGATCAGTCTCATGCAAGGCAAGTGCTTTATATCCTTCACTATCTCTCTAGCCTGAAAATCAAGTTAATTTAAGCAAATTTATGACAACTTATGGGATGCCCCTAGCACCCCTTTCCAAGTTGGATTTATGAACAGAAAACAAAAGTAATGTGTTCACTGGAATGGCTTTGGAGTGGAATCACTAGAGTAAATAAACCCTTAAGGTGCAGACACAAGACGGCAGTGTTGGGAGGTGGCCATTTCTGCTAAGTCACATGTCTTATCTGCTTCAAATAAAAGTAATCATGTGGAGGGAAGAAGCAGCAAAAAGCCTAAGAAAATCTGATAAGATATACTTATAAAGTGCAAACAAACAAAATTTCCTAGAGGTGGCAATGCAAAATGACAACAGCATGAGGAATAACATTTCCTCCTTTCTCCAGAGGAATGAAAGATGGCAGGTAGTACTGGACTGGCAATGGAATCTGTCAGTGAAAGTAGCTCTCAGAGCTCCATGATGCAGCCTATGTAGCCCCCATTCTAGTCATGTGCCGTAGATACTCTTAGAGATGACAGGTCTCGGAAATCTCACTTGTATCAGAATGAGGAGTTCAAACAGCTGAACACATCCCTGGATTAGCCCAGGCACTGCTGAGAGGAAGGTTGGAAATGCATATACAAAGACTAGATGAGTAGATTCTCTGGTCAAAGTGGATGGGATACAATCCCTCATAGAGTTAGTAGTGGCCAGTTCAAAACTAATGGGATGGGTACTTGATCATTGTATAACTGAAGCCCAAGCACAAAAATTGTAAGTCTATAACTGTACCTCGTGGTGTTTCACTAATAAATAAATAAATAAATAAATAAAACTGATTAACCAAAAAATGTTGCTACAAACAATACAAAACACCTCAGGATATGAGACTGGCAGAACAGACCCACATGCCTTGTGGGAAATCCCCAGGCCTGCCAAAGATGCAAGCAGAGGAAATCTGAATGTGTGGGTACAACTTGTTCTTCAGGGCAAAAGGAACTGTGTAAAGCTCTTGATGCCAGGGTGGCAGAAACCCGGGTGTCCAAGAGACTTTGCTCATTCTTCTCAGCCCCTGGAAGCAAGTCCAAAACTACAAAGAGGTCCTGTGGAAAGAGACTGCTTGAGGAAAAGCTGGGCCTTTTCCTTCTCTGAAAGCTGCATCCTTAGAAATGGAGAGAGGCAGAATAACCTTTTCAAGAGCAAGACACTTTTCTTTTTTCTATTTTTTTTTTTTAGATTTACAAATTTTTGTGCTTGGGTTTCGGTTATACAATGATCAAATACCCATCCCTCCACCAGTGCCCATTTTCCACCACCATGGATAACATCCCTCCCCCCCATCCCCCCTATCCCACCCTGCCTCTGTGGCAGGGCATTCCCTTTTGTTGTCTCTCTACTTTTGGGTGTTGTGGGCAAGACACTTTTCTTAGATTCTGATAAATCTTTTTTTTTTTTTAATTTGGGGGCCACACCCAGTTGTGCTCAGGGCTTACTACTGGTTCTGTGCTCAAGCATCACTCCTGACAGGCTTCGGGAACCACACGGGGTGCCAGGAATTGAACCCGGAGCACATGCAAGGCAAACACCTGCCCTGTTGTACTATCACTCTGATTGCTGATAAATATTTTCTAATAATCAAGTATTTTTTAGTTGTGTTGATCTTTCCAATATATCTCCCATGCAATGCTCAGGTAGCTATGTGGCAGTTAGAGCAAACCTGCGGCTTTGTGCATGTATGTAAAGCATATGCCCCTCATCCCTGAACTTCTCTCTGGCCCCCATTTTCACCGCTGTGGCAATAAGCATATTCACATTGTTACATAGCAATCATTACCCTAACATATGTACATTTGAGGATAAGAAAAATATTATTAACTATAGACCCCAAGTTTTGCATTATACTTTCATGACTTATAGCTAGAAGTTTATAGACTCCCAAAAGTGTTACAAATGGCAAGATTTTATACTTATCATAGCTGAGTAGAGTTTCCCATGAATATTCCATTCTATATGACATACCACATCTCTTCTACTGATGAAGATTTACATTGTTAATACATCTTGGTTACTGAAAATAATGCAGCAGTGAGCACAGTGTCTTTTTTTTTTTAACCATTCTATTAGCCATTTGGTGGTAACAAGCAATATAAAATAAATTATTGTGGGCCTGCTAGGGGGACAGGCTTAAGGGATGGTTGGGAAAATGGAGACAATGGTAGAGGGAAGGTGGGATTGATGATGGAATACTAAGTGCCTCTAACAAATCATCACGAACAACTTTGTAAACCATGGTATTTAAATAAAGGGTGGGGGGAAGATTTAAAAGTTGTGTATACTATACAAGAAAGTACACTTGCCTTTGTGGGGACACTCGCTGGAAAAGGACAGTCTCCCCCTGAAGAAGCTGATCAGAAGAAAAGGCAAGCAAATGTTATCTATCATACAGAGCTGGATGAAGTAAAAGGAGACTAGACAAACAGCACCAGGGGCTGGTGTTGAGAAGGCTAGTAAGGCTTCATGGAAGAAGTGACAGTTGATAAGATGAGGTGGATGAAAAGATTTAAAGTGGGAATGAAGGGGGTTGGAGCAATATCACAGCGGGTAGGGCATTTGCCTTGCATGCCACCGACCCAGATTTGATTCCCAGCATCCCATATGGTTTCCTGAGCACCGCCAGGGGTAATTCCTGAGTGCAGAGCCAGGAGTAACCGCTGTGCATCGCCAGGTGTGACCCAAAAATTAAAAAAAAAAAGTGGGAATGAAGGAAGGCACAACCAAGCCTGTGAATACAGCCAGGATAACTGCACATCAAATGATTGGTGTGTTGATAGAATTTTAAACAATTTGGTGGGTGGCATACAGGGATGGCTCAGGCACCATGGAGAGAACACCAGAAGGAGCCACCAAAAGTGTGTAAAACAAGAGCTACACTGCGATCTAGTAGATGACTCAAGAAAGTGGGCAATGTCCCTATTGGAGCTCAAGTGTTGGCGGCACGGTGA